GAAAAGTAGGAAGTATAAAGGAGCGAAATGGGCCCCACCTCGCCCATTTCCGTGAGGTCCTGCCTCTCCACAATGGAGCTACGACCCCTCCGAAGCCCCATAGGGGACCGTGTTTTTTTTTGTTTTTTTTTGAGGAAAACCCCCGAGTCCTGCGGCTTTCGCGCACAGGACTAGGGGGGAAAAACCTCAGGAAAGGAAGGAAGTCGGGTCGAGGGACAAGAAAAACGCACAAGGGGGTAAGGTGAAGTTAAACGCGAAGAAGCTAATATGAGTTAAACGCGAAAGGGACAAGTTAAACGCGAAAGGTCTGCCCTTAGTCAAGATTCACCGCAACGAAAGACCGCGGGCGTAGCACCCAGCGAACCCTTGCGGGCACGCCGGGACATCCGGAAGGACGATATTTAACGCTACAACCTCCGTCCCTTCCCACGGGCGAGCCCAGTGGGTTAGACGTAAGGAACCACGCCCGCCGCCGGCGGGGGGCCCCGTTAGCCATCGATCCCCGCGCAAAATGTCTCCGACAGAGGGTGACTTTATACTAGCGGGTGCTCAATAGCACCCGCACCTATCCCAAGTGAAGTGACCCCCAAGCACAAGCACAAATAGGACTTTACCCAAAGTCAACGGACTACGCCTCCGACCTCCCCACGGACAAATAGGATCGTCTCTACCCACACAAGTGCCCAAGGGTCAAGACATGTTGGGACGTTTTTAGCAAAGCGAACAAATGATACTAAATACGCGAGAGCTAGACACCTGGCTAGATTCACTATACGAAAGACCATGGCCGTAGATACCCTAAGGGGGCTCAAGGCCCCCGTCGGGAGACCCATAAGGTCCTGTTGCGGCCACAACTTGGGCCACCAACCACTGAGCAAGCTCAGCGGAAGAGGCGGAAGGGCAACCCCCGACACCATGGTCTTAAGTCTAGCTGCACTAACAGGGTGACTACTCTTATATGACTACTTGAATTAATATGCTCGACCCGACCAAGGAAATAGGAAAAGTAAGACAAGCACAATGTAAAGAGGGAGAGAACAAAGTGAATCGAGAAGTTATAAAGGAAGATAAAATTTAAGAAGGTAAAAATTAGAAAAGTAACGAATGGGGGTATAAAAGTAGAGAAGAAATAAGGAAAGAGATAAACCAGAAAGTAAGGAATGAAATAAGGAAGTATAGAAGAACTAAATATAGAAATAGAAGAAAGTTGGCAATGGATAGGAGAGGTAATTCCAAGAGACCAGTATAGGAGACCGGCTCGAGGAAGAATGAGCGCTCCGAGTCCGGGCCCTGCCTCGAGCGCCCCCCACCATCCGCCTGCTCCCACTCGCCGCCTGCTCCTGCTCACCGAGTCCTGCGCTAAAAATTTGCGCGCACACAATTTTGGGCAACTTCCAGTACTTCTAAATATGCTTGGCCATAATTTCCGTTTTCTAAGTGTTAATATTTTACTTTATTGATTTAATTAATTATTCTAATGTTCTAAACATCTAATTTATTATTATTTCAATTTGAACGTAATTTATTTTCGATATTCTACAATTTCAATTTCATTTTTATATACTCCGTATATTCTGCGAAATTTTTATTTAGCCTGAACTTTATATTTTGAATAAATTTTGAAAATAAATCAAGATCCAATAATATTTAGTAAAAATTGAGGTGCTACATGGGTGTCAAGTTGGAACTGCACTTTCTTAAAAATGTCTTAAAAATATTTCTACAATAGACTTTTTCAATAGTTCTTGAAAAGTTCTATAGTTCCCGGTCTCGTTCTAAGGCTTGCTTTGGGAACCCGGGATGAGTAGCGGAGAACCTCTGCCCGCCAAGCTACAAGTTCGTGTTCACGTTTAACTCGGCTACGACGGGATTTGCTTTGTCGACGGTCTCCGTCGTCAACGTCGTGTCCTTCCATCGTCTCGATGATCACAATTTCCTACTTGGAGACTCGTCTTTACGATTTAGCGCCATGATTTTGGTATCACCTAAAACCGTAGCGTTGTGCATCTCCCTACTCATCTCTGATCGTTATATGTATGTTGTACTCCCTAGATAAATTGCACTATCAGTGATTCTTCGTATCCATGGTAACGGGACGACGCCAAAAGTCAAAACAGTTTGAGCTGTCATTAATATTTTGAAGCAAATATCAAGATGCGTTTTAAGATATCACTAAGAAATAGTAATGGACATACACGTCTTGTGACTTGTGTTGCTTGGAATTTTACAGAGGAACTTTATTCCTGCGGGTATAGAAATATTTTTAATCTATCTATGTACACTTAATGAGATTAATTAATTTTTAGGGAGGATCATTTATTAATATGCTGGCACCTGGAAGGTGGAACAGCTCATTCTAATATAATATCTAAATTTCCTGAAGATTTTTATCCTACTGATATGCAATGGCATCCACGTCCTGTGCAGTCTGCTGGTGTTACGTCCACTAAGAAACAGTCCTTTGACGTACTTCTAATTACTACAGCTGATGGTAGTGTTTTATTGCAGGTTTTATAGACAGGAACAATTTGATTACATTATTTCAATGCTCTTAGGAAAATTTCATCTAGTGAATAAGACTGGTCGTATAGAAAAAGCTGTAGAGGCACACAAGGGAGCTACGCTGTGTGGTAAATGGAGTCACGATGGTTCTGCTTTGCTTACAAGTGGCGAGGATGGTCTAGTAAAAATATGGTCTCGGAGTGGTATGTTAAGATCAACTGTACTCAGAGGAAATCATCCAGTTCTTACTTCAAATTGGAGTCCTGATTGCTCGAGTGTTTTATACTCCCAAGGCGCTCATTTGACAATACAGTCTCTCAATACAAATTCTAAGCCTCGCAAGGTTTCTCTATTGAATATTTCTCTGACATCCGTAATTATATACTTACCATACTATTATGGAAAATAATATTTTGGTTAACAGTGGCTCGCACATGATGGTCTCATACTTGTTTCATCTTGGAACCATAGTAACGGACTGATTATCACTGGTGCCGAGGACTGTCGTTTCAAGGTCAATTAAATTAGTATCTAAAGCGCTTTACATATAATTATTGTTTTTACTTAATTAATCATTTTAAGGTCTGGGATCAAACTGGCAATCAGTTGTACTGTAGCAATACCGGTGACTATCCAGTGACTGCGATCAGTTGGTGCTTCTCTGGCAATTACTTTGCAGTTGGTTCCTTTAACACTATCAGACTCTGTGATAAAACCGGGGTTAGTTTCATCATATAGCTTGTTCATAGGAATGATATTAATAATTAAATGTACATTCTAGTGGTCACATTCCTTAGAAAAAGTGAATACAGGCAGTATCTTTGGTATCGCCTGGTCTAACGATAGTACACAAGTAGCAATGGCTTGCGGAAGCGGCACCATCCTTACCGCACACATAATCGATAGGTAAAGATTAAAAAAAAAATAATTGAACTATCGAAGATTAATATTTAGTAAAATTAAAAACCTAGGCGTTTAGAATGGAACAATTACGAAGCTACGCTGGTACGTCGCAAAACGATTGAAGTCAGAGAAGTGGGTAGTGACAGACACGAGACACTCGAAATATCAGATCGAGTGGTGCAGCTAGAATTTGGCTTTGATCATCTGGTAGTAATTACCCCAACCCAGTGTCACGTTTACTCAACAAATAATTGGAACACGCCTGCCATATTTGATCTTAAGAACGGTTCAGTGTCTGCAGTTATTCTAGCGGAAAAGTAAACAGCCAAGTTTTCTCATTAATTCAAGTAAACTAGGAACCAGTACTGTTAGCATAATATAAATAATTTCAGGCACTTTCTTCTGGTGGAATGGAATGTCGTTACACTGTACAGTTACCAGGGTCGTTTATTAACTGTTCCAAAATGGAAAGGGATGACTCAGGAACCTCTTTATCCTCCTTGCATATCATTATGCTCAGATTCACTGGTTATTCGCGATCAGAGCAACGAGAACTGTAAGCGGCATTCAACAATCGAGTCAGAAATATCAATTAAAGATATTCCGAATATCTGAGATCCATTGTATTTTTCCAGTATTACACGTACTAGAAGTTTCCAGTAACAAACCGGTCTCCGAGGGGCAGCCACACTCGCATCTGCAGAAGGTGACACAACTGGCATTAAATCACGTAGGAGACGTTACCAACAGACAGTTGGCACTCATAGACGTAAACCGGGATTTGTTCTTAGCTTCCATCCGTGCCAGTGGCTTCGGACGACTTTGTAAAATAGGTAGGAGGAATACCTAATTATCGAATGATTATACAATTTTTAATGACAATTCATCTGATTCATTATACCTGTCAAAGCCGTGATGGCGCAGAGCATCTCCTGGGCGACTGACGCAAACGTATTGGCTGCAATGCTAGACGCGACATTGTCTGTCTGGTTGTGTCCCAATTGCGTTCACTACAGTGATCGCAAAGTGATCCGCAAGACTCGTATAGACAAAGAGAACAGGTATGATATGGATAATATCGATAATTGCCGATGTTCTGAAATTTCTTATTTTTCTTATGGAAAAAAAAGATATATGCCAAGTAATTTACAGCGAGTATGGAAAGCAGCCTAGTATCGCAAGTGTACAAAATGGCTTGGTAACAGTGAGACGCGGCGATGGAGCACTGGTGTCCACATCCTTTTATACTTTTTTCACGAGTTTACATCAGCACGTGATAAATAACAGATGGAACGAAGCTCTATCGTTATGCCGAATAGCGCAGAATGAAATTCTTTGGACTTGCATGGCTGTGATGGCAACCGATACTAAAGAACTGATAGTGGCTGAGGAGGCTTACGCAGCAATCGATAGATTCGATAAGGTCGATTACATCCGTTACATTAAAAAGATGTCTAACAAAGTTGAGAAGCTTGCTGGAATGGCACTGTTAGCCGGGGACTTGTTAGCCGCGGAAGGAATTCTTTTGCAGAACGGCCTCGTTTCCGAGGCCATAAAAATTAACATTGAAACATACAATTGGACAAGGTAGAGTACACAGTGATATAAGAATTTGAACATATCGACGACCTCAAAAATAATATTTACATTCGTTGTATTATAACAGAGCACTGGAGCTAGCAATTAGGCATAAAAGAATGCTGGAGGAAGTGCTGGAGGCGAGACGGAAGTATTTGGTGATTATTGATAAGAAGGAGACTAATCAAAATTTTTTAGCGTTTGCCGGGCATTCGTCAAAAGTACAAGAGAGCCAAGATACTGCAACCAGAGAGACAGAGAAATCTGATAACGAGAGAGAGAAGCTGTCAACGCCGTTGGAATTATAAAGAATCATATGAATGAATATTTTATTAATATAAAACATTTTCATACTATGCTCGAAGCAAAACCTGTATAAAGTAATAATATATGGTTGGAGTATTTTCTATGCGCGACACAGGTACGTATAATTGATTGTAAAAGTACTTGAAAGTAGGTGGAAGTGTGGAGATACACGAGAACCTAGATAAACGAGGTAGAATAAATAACTTAATTACAGACCGTGATCGGATGAATTCGATATTAAAGTACAAGTGCCTTGAACGTCAGAGAAAGAAATCCAACGAGGAAAATAGTGAGAATAATAAATATAAGGACTTTACGTATCTGCCAAGTGGTCGTCTTGACAGCAGGCCTGTACCTAGACGTGAGTGCGCCCTGAAATAAATATAAATAAATCAACAACTCGACAAACAGTACAACAGAATATCAATTAACGCGTACCCATCCACCATTGGCTTGTATCCAAGGACCTAGATCGTCCTCCAGAACTTCATTCATTCCTCTTTGAATAGCTGGAAGGAATTCTGGTTTCCCTTGTCGAACACAGTCAACGGCAATACCCCCAGCTACAGCATAGAGAGCGACGATCTTGCTCCAGGTCATTTCGCCGTTGCGCAACATCTCCCTGGAGACGTCGGTAAGGGCGTCGGAGGCCGATTGTTCGGTAGTGAAGTGGCCACAGCCAACTTGTCTGCCTATCCTGACAAAGAGATTAGGATGCATCTTTTCCAGTTCAGCTCCGATAGTCGTGAGCTCTGGATAGACTTCCCCGACCAGGCTACCACCAGGAAGTAAGATCTCGCTTCGCATCCTCTTCAGTCCTAACTTCCTATGAAAGATTCCTGATCTCTTGAGACGGTTCCTGATGTACTGAGCGCAGAGCGAAGAACCCTGAGATACCGTGAGCTTGACACTGGCCGAAACTGATCTCCAGCCTATCGTATATGACAACTTCCTCGAGACGACGTCGCTGACATTGCTGAATCTCCTTCTGGCAGATCCCACAACGTGAAAGGGAGAACCATCGGAACTGGAGGAACCTAGCCCTAAGAGGTTGGAGTGAAGAGAAGCTGCCAGACTGCTTCTACGATAATTCTGCAATCCCGTATTGGAACCTGGGTCCAGGTTCCTCACGCTCGTTATCGTACCAGACATCTTACTGTCCGTGCGAGACCTTGTCATTCGAAAATCCTGTCCAAAATTAAAAAAAAAAAAAAAACAGATTCCTTTACAAATGCATGCATTGAGCTCTCAAGACGTTTAACATGTCCATTGAAATGTACAAAAAAAAGGAAACCAGGACATTGCGCTACCGGTCTACCGGATGATACCGAATCCTGATACCGTCCCTCGACATCAATTACCATCCAGTTATAATAAGTAACCTCGACAAATAGACTAAAATACACACAATCGTTAAACTAATAATTGTTATATCTTAATGATGACCAATACGTCAAAACAGCCTTTTAAACTTCTAAGCTCACAGAACTTTAATGAGACAACTGTTTGTCCCGCCACGTTTAAATTATAAAAACGCCATAGTTACCTCTACTGTATAACAGCAAGTCTACGGCTATTACAGCACGCCTTATCGCTATTTACTATGCGTCGCACGACCCGTGCTCGTCCATTGTCATACCGAGGTCCTTTCTTCTGAACCAAGCCATAAGGAAATGGTCCTCAACGTGAACGCAAATTATCCAAACGACCCATACAATATTTCTGGCACCTACGGTAAAGAGAAAAGGACAATTGCATGGACCTACAAATTTATCCAATATTCCTCTGGCGCTTATCGTTCGACAAAAGAACTTTTTTTATCATTTAAAATTCCAGTCGGTTTCACTCGCGGCTGTGTACAGTGGGCTGCAGTGGGTACAAGTGTACCTAGTATCGGTTATCAACATACTGAATAGTTACAGCCTATCGTATGCTTCATCGATAATCTAGAAGCCGTTAGAATTTTTTAACACGGCACGAAAAAAAAAGACCCGTCATAGAAGAGAAAAGCAATTCGTAAAATCAAATTAGAGACTTCATTAAGAGTCAGACTCGTGCCAAGGAACGTATACAAGTATTAAATTAATCATCAGCGTCCCTAAGAGTTTACTCTTAAATATTAATATCAAGTTGCACAACACATGTGTAAATTGCTGTCTCGGTACTAAAGCAAATAAAAGAAAGCACCCGAATAACATAGCTGTAGACGATATAGGTAACGCGTGCCAATCTAACCAATAATAACAGATACCAGTCTCGATCGAACTAACGATCAGAAGCGCGTATACCGCCTTTCTCCTCATGGTGTGCTAACCCATATTTTATCAAGGAACAGATCATTACGAAATCATCCAAATGACACCCGACAGCCATTAATTTGGTGACAAGAAAACTCAACCGACAGCCCTCCCGTCCCTTACCCACATAAAGAAAACCCTTCTTAGTCAACATAGACAATAAAAATTTTTCCCTATACACAAGAGCGCAAGATAAGTCCTAATCCACGCTTACTTAAAAATAAATCCAATAATTGTATAACAAAAGAAATTTTAAATTACAATCAATCCATGCTTACCAGTACTTGACAAAAAAAAACTAACTTCAATAACGCATAATTACGCCCAGTAACAAAGGTAGGCACCGCACACTATACAATATGTAATTCACTGTTCTCTCACTCAAATAGTATTACGTGTCCGTACAAAAGAAACGCATTTAACACACGTGCACGTAAGAGCAGCAGGAGCGTCGCTAAAATTCACCACCATCCGCATCGGAGATCGCGGATCGACTGCTGCGCTCTTCCCGACAGATTTACGTTACATAGACGCTCGTAAGCGCCGTACCGTCTACTACGCAAGTGCCGGAGCTCTCCGTATAATCGTCGCTTGACAAAACCGATTTGTAGGATAGTAACCCATAAGTACAGTACAATGAGTATCGGGGTACCGTTAATCGTGATCACGGGGTACGATGCTATTAGGTAAAAACAAATTAGACAATGTCGGATTGTCAACAAGGAAAAGAAGAAAAGTTACCAAAGTAATGCATAACAAGCCAAACACTATTTTTGAGTATAAGACAGCTTCCAGGTAAGTACTGGTCACAATCTTAATCGTAATTAATAAAGTCCCAGCGTGTATGTATACATATACATGTACACGTGAAATAGCCATAATATTGTGGATAAAGCGTAATTATGCGATTGCGCAATAAAAATAGCCAACTAGTCAATTTCTTAAGAGCGTTATTTATTGGTAAAGCTGGGGTCATGGAAGACCCTCACACGGGTTTATTTTCGTACGTTCGTCAATATGTGTTTTCACATTGCGGATCTGTGTTGTGTGTAATTCAGTGTTACTCCGTGTCCGTGTGCGCATGCATGATGAGTGTACCTTGTTAATGTCCTATATATATATAATAATTATATATATATAGGTATTCGTGACATACGTATTTTAGAGGGCGTATGTAATTCTTGTACATTTTTTCCCTATTTTTCTTTCATCTTTCTTTTTTTTCCTTCTCTATTGAGTTTATATAATTATAATGTCAAATGTAGGCTTCTGTAGTTAAACTGCGTATTCCATGCACCGAACAAATACCACGAGGACTACACGAGAGAAGAGCTTCTTTTTCTGCTTTATGCTTACGGTTATACATATAAAGATTTTTCACACGTTGACGGTGGAGATAGAGAAAAAAAAAAGAAAGAAGAGATCACTGTCAACGTCTTTATGCCGTCTTCTTTTCTTTTCACTTTTTTCTTTACCGGCCGTCGTTGTTTCGTTTGTACGACTACCTCCTGTCCCCTTTTTTCTCTCTTTTTTTCTCTCTCGCACTTTTCTTTCATACCGCGAGTATCGTGACGGAACTTTTCGCACTTATTTCGCCTTTCATTTTTTTTTCTTTCTTGCAGACTGGTTCGTGTTTTTTTCTTCTCATTTTTATACAATCAATATCGACGAAGAAGACGAAGACGAGGAGGACGCTAATAATTAACGATAGGCGAATAATATTAATATAAGTAGTAATGATAATAATAATAATAGCAATAGACGTAATAACGTAATAGTAATAATAATTCGAGCGTCAACAACGGGCAACAATCGCGGGTTTCATTTTTCTTTTCTTTCCTCCTTTCTTCCTCTTCCTCTTCACGTCCATCTTATTTCTCTGTTCGTTGCTTTTACGCTTTCGCAAAACTTTCCTTCTCGCAAAACGGCACGCGCCGACGTTAGAGTGAATATACATATATTATATTATTTATATACATATACATATATATATTTATTTATTTATATAGAATATCAAATATACATATATTTATATATATGTATAGTCCTCTCTCACTTAAATTTACGCACGAAAAGCATGATAAAAGGATAGTTCATATTTTCTTCTATTCCCTTCGAATTCTTTTTTTTTTCTTTTTACGTAAAAACAAAACACCCTTGAAACTAATACTTTTCGTATTTTTTTGTTTTCTTCTTCGCGCCCCTTCACTCCTCTCATTTGTTCGTCAGCTTTTTCTCTCAACAACTTTCGTTATGCTCGTCCCCTTAATCGCGTATGTTTGTATGTTTCATCTCTTTGTATCTTTTTGTATCTTTCATCTCTTGTATGTTTCATCCATTGAAATTCCGCCTTAAGTAATAATCAAGCGTGAATGGCGAATCAGCGCCGTTTACACGGCCTGTCCTTAATAATTACGTGGTCGCGGCCGAGTGTTTAAAAAAAATTTCCGCGACAAAGAAGAGAGCGGTTGAGAGTGAGAAGGGGCTGCGGGGGGCGGGGGGGG